GTAGAACGACATCTTGGCAAAGTCATCATAGAAACTGTGCAAATTAAGAGTATGCTTACTCCACCAACCCTACCAAATACCTAGCTTCTCTTAGCCTGCAACCTGTGCTGAGGACACTGCCATTGGCCTCTAGGACTCATTCATCTGACACAAAACCCATGATACACAGGGCAACCCTGTGATTCCATCTGCCCGGGATGTACAGAAATTCCCAACACCACAGGAAAATACCGTGCATGGATCACTAGCCCAGGAAAAACAACAATGAAGTCCTGAATGTATATTGCTTTTATATCATCATGAAGATGAAGACTTGTAAGTGGAGTCATGCCAAGCTAGGGAACATCTGATGCTATATATGCCACAATCAATCTACTTACTGCATGAAACCATATGAGCCTGGTGCTCTACTACTTGAGCCATGCTTCCAGCCTTGCTTTTTGCTGATTCATTGCTGATTTCTAACTTTCTTCCCAGACTAGTTTCAACCTAGCTCCTCCAGATCACAGCCTCCAAGTAGCTAGAATTACTGGCCTGAGCCACCAGCAAGCACCTAACACCTATTTTTCTCTTTCTTTTTTCTTTCTTCATTTTGTGCTGGGGCTTCAACTCAGGACCTGGACCATGTCCTTTATCTATTTTGCTCAAGGCTAGTGTTCTACCACTGGAAGCACAGCTCCACTTCCAGTACTTTGATGGATAATGAGAGATAAGAATCTCACAGACTTTTTCTTGTCTTTGAACCACATCCTCAGATTTCAGCCCTCTGAGCTAGGATTACAGATGTGAGCCACTGGCACCTGTTACTTTTTCTTTTACATTTTGCAAATCAGAAGAAGCAAGGAGAAAAGAAAATAATAAAAGGGATATGAATATAATGAAGAACACTGTGTTAAATTACTTCCTGTCCTGGACCAAAGAAAATATTGTCCATACTTTAAACAAACAAAACATTGAACCATCAAATAGGATTGGCCCAATTTATCATAGAAAGCCTGGTGTTTAGTGTAGCCTCACTTTACATAATGGTCTCTATCATCATTTAGGCTTGGATAAGTGGTATTTTAAAAAGCTGTAACTCATCACAAGCATGAGGATGTTTCATATTTGAATATAATTTGCATAGATTATAATATCAATTTCAGGAACCATTAACTTTTGCTTATATGTTCCTGGGAGCTGCAGTTTATGATAGTGTTTATGTCAATCATGGTTGTTCCATTTTGTGCTGATTTAAATTCTTATTTGCTATGGTATCTTAAAGCCTTTCAGTACAGGGTTTTTTCATGTCTTCTTACTTAGAACTCAGGAAGCAGTAGTTGTAATAACAAAGCTAACAATTAATTTTGTGGAGACTAAGGAAAGATTGTATGTGGTTAAATCAGTGAGGGCTTGGGACAAGACTTTCTACCAAGGAGGTGGTCTCTCAACCTAGTGTTTAGGAAACTCACCCAGCCTATTTATTTTTCAATGCCTAGATCTACAATGGAAGTTCTGGGTTCATATTAAAAAATAAGTCACGCCAGATACCAGTGGGTCATGTCTATCATTCTAACTATTCAGGAGGCTGAGATCTGAGGATCGCTGTTCAAAGCCAACCAAGCAGAAAAGTCTATGGACCTCTTACTTCCACTTAACTACCAATTGATTGAGAGCTTTACTGCAATCAAGTTCTCAGGCTAATGAACAGCTGGGAACATACTGATTGCTGGAAATTTGAAGGTTTTTAGATGTATAGATTTTTAATATTTTTTCCTGATAAACCTTAGAAACAAGTAGCACAAAACACATCTCTCTGTTTCTCTCTCACACACACACATACACACACACACCAAAAAATAGATAATTATACAACTTACTGAAAATTTGTAGTCCTATGAAACTTTCAATAGGAGTATTTCTTTTTTCAGTTTGATAGCAAATGTTCTTGTCTAATTTAAAATAAACTTGATTTGAATTCACTTTGAAAGCACATTTTGAAGGGGTGAGATTGATCAAGATGGACTGCACTCATAAACTGACATGATAAGCTGAAAACCCTTTGTACAACGATTTAAAGTTAGAGAATAAAAAAGTACCAGATTTAAAAAAAGAAAAAAAAACACCCAAAACACCCCACAACACATTTGGTTGGTAGGACTTTATAGTCTCAGAAAATGAAGGAAATAGTTGCACCTATTTTCCCCCCTGAAATTTAAACATCTGCACGAATTTGGCAACCAAGAGTAAAATCTATAGACTGCATCTCCCTTCTCCAAATGATTTGAGACCAGAATTGAGGCTTTGGGTTTGTGGGAATTTGGGGGTGTCTGGACTGCTATATTGAGATATTTAGCGATGGGATCAAGATCTAAGTAAGTTCATCCTATTTGTATCTATCTTGTACACATAACCTAGTGGTAACTTCATCCATTATCTTTAGTATGCAATGCTTTGATTGCAACCTGTTACCTGAGGTCAACTCTGGAATTTCCCCTGCTGGGTCATGCCAAATCTCAAATAGTTCCAGAGTTTTGGACCATTTTGGAATTTTGCATTGGACTCATGCTGTATAGACTGAATGCTTGATTTGTTTAATGCAACTTATTCTAAATGTATTCCTGATACCTCTTTGGTTTTTGTGTAGGACCTGAGGGGGCTCTTTTTGAACACTCAGTGGAGACTCCCCTTGTCAGAGCTCATCCATTTCCAGATCTTAGGTAAGAATCATTGTCCCAAGGCAAACCAACTTTGTTTGGGAAGGCAGCTGGATATGTGCTGAGATACTGTAATTGTTGCAATCAGATAGTTTCTTGTTGCACTTGTTGTCTTATAATTTTTCTTGACTTTTTGCATGTAACAAGTTATTTATTCAAATACAATGTAAGTCAAAGTTCCAACTGATTCTAGAACTTGTTAGACTCCTTGTGTGTTCTGTTTCTGTCCAGGGTTTGTATTATTCCAAAAACCTTCTTGCTCCTTTCCAGTCTGTCTCCAAAATCAGTGCCAGACTAATTTTGCTGGGAGCAATCTGTATAACATGCTTGCTTGGTTCTAAACCAACCATAAGGAAAACCCAGTGTTCCCAGTGAGTACTTAAGGCCCCCATGGTTTGGGCTGCCTCTGGTGAACCTCTCCCCTCCTCCTCCTTCCCAGACATGGCTGCCAGGGTCTCTTCTCATCCATAGATCTTTTCAATTTGTTGCTGAATTTGGCTTGCAAGGGTTTCGTTGACTAAAGTTGTGTCTATGATAGAATGATCTATGTATGATTCCTATTGTTGTGTCCTTGGCTGGTTTTGGAACAAGTATAAACACTGGCTTTGGAGAATAAATTTGAATAGCATTTCTTCCCTTTCTATCCCATGGAAAAATCTGAGGAGTAAATATAATTCAGCTGTTGGGTCCTGGGATTTTTCTCTATTGAGATACTTATTAACTTCTTCAGTCTCATTGCTTGTTCTAGATCTGTTTGATATATATCCTTTAGATTACATTTTTGGTCAAATCCATGTAGAAATGTATTCATTTCTTCTATATTTTCTAGTTAATTTGAATACGTTTTCAAAATATTCCCTGACAAGCCTTGGAATTTTATTAGTATTTTCTGTGGTTTCCCTTTTTTCATCTATGATTTTATTCACTCTTTTCCCTCTTCAGATTAGTGAGGGGATTATCAATCAAATTTTCTTTTCCTTTGAAAAGAACCAACTTGTTGGTTCCACTTATTCTTTGGGTAATTTTTTAACTCTTTCATTCATGTCTTCTCCGATCTTCATTATTTGTTTTGTTTGCTAACTTAGAGTTAGGCTTGTTCTTTTTCTAGGCACTTGTTTTTATGTTGCTATTAATTTGAAATCTATTTTTATGTAGGTTTCTTAGCACAACTTTTGCTATGTCCCAAAGATTTCTGGTACATTTGTGCTTTCATTTTTGTTAAATTCTAGTACCTTTTCACTTCATTTCTTGAGTGACCCACTTGTCATTCAGCAATGTGTTATTCAGTCTCCATGTGTTTGAATATATTCTGTGGCTTCATTTGCTGTTGAGTTCTACTACAATTCCATATGGTCAGATAGAATACAGGAAAATGTGGGAATGGGAGGGAAAACTGGGAGAGATCAAGGGAAGGGGTGACATTATCTAAAAAGAAATGTACTCTTTACCTGACTTACATGTAACTATAACCCCTCTGTATATCATCTTTATAGTAACAATTTTTTTTAGTTCAGAAAGTTAACTATTTTGCATTTACTAAGATTTTTCTCCATGCCCTAAAATATGATGTATTTTGTATAACGATCCATGGGCTGCTTAGAAGAGAGTGTATGGTTCAGCTGCTGGATGAAATATTATAGCTATCTGTCAAGTCCATATGTGTGGTCCAAGTGTGTGATGTCATTTAGTTCTTAGGCTTATTGTTGCTTTCTTTTATGCATTTTCTATCTACTGATAGGAGTGGACTATTGAAGTCTCCCACAATCATTGTGTTTAGGTCTACTCAAGCTTGTAAGTTCACAAGTATTTGTTTAAGAAACTTGGGTGTTCCAACATTTGCTGTGTATATACTGACAACTGTAATTTCAGCTCATGGATTGTTCCCTTATTAATAGAGTGATCTTGTCTCTTAAAGTCTATTTTACCAGATAAAACCATAGTTGCACTTTGCAAAGTATTTTTCCTTTCTTTTACCCTAAGCCTATATTGGTCCTTATGAGATGTGGTTTTGCAGGCAACAAATAGGTCTTGCCTTCTAGTCCAACTTGCCATAGTATAGTGTTTGATTGGAGAGTTGAGACCATTTATTGTGTTGATATGGACATATTTCATACTTCCTTTCCTTTTGTTGTTTTATCATGCTTATTTCTTCCCTATTCCTATGATAATCTACTCATCTAGTGATGTTTGTTATCATTTTTCTTGTTTTGTCTTCATCTTGTGTATAAAATTCTTTCAATATGTTCTGTAGTCTTGGCTCCTGTAGTGTTGGATTCCTGTGGGTTTAGTTTATTGTAGATGATTTTTAATTTTTCACTAAATCATGAAGGATAGGTTTGCAAGATACTCTATTCTAAGTGAACAATTGTTACCTTTTAGGGCTTAGGTTATGTTCTTCCATGCCCTCTTCCATCATCCTTGAGTAAAAAGCCAAGTAGGAAGCCTGAGTTCAAATCCTAGTACCCGCACTAAGTAAATAAATAAATGTTCCATTTTGATTATTTCTTCCTTGGCTTATCACCTAAGACTTCAAAATCATTGGCATGAAATCACTTTTTTTTTGTCAGTCATGGGGTCTGCACTGTGGGCCTGGATGCTGTCCCTCAGCTCTTCAGCTCAAGGCTAGCACTCTACCACTTGAGCCATAGAGCCATTTCCGGCTTTTTCTGCTTATATATTGCTGAGGAATCAAACCCAGGGCCTCATGCATGCAAGGCAAGCACTCTACCACTGAGCCACCTTCCCAGCCCACTCATTACATTTTATGAATAGTCTATTTTCTATAATGTGTGTGTGTGTGTGTGTGTGTGTGTGTGTGTGTGGCTCCTAGGCCAGTGTTAACAATTACATGACTAATATCTGTGTAATTGCTATCTTTCTTTTTTATATAAGTTTCATGAAGAGGTTTGTTAAAACTTCCTCTATAATATTGGTATCATTACTCTTTTAGTTTTAATTTTCAGGTGCATACAACCATGTTTACTTAATCTTCCTGCAAGTTGTTCCTGTAGTCATTAAGTAATGACATTTCTTCCTCCTTATCTTGTCTTCTATTAATATTGCCATAACGGGTCAGTCCTTCTCTTCCTCCTTTTCTATCCTGCCCTTTTTTTCTTTCCCTCTTTCTTCCCCACTTTCTTTCTAAAATAAATCGTTCCATCTATCCTGTCCACTTTCTAAGCTAAAAGCCAAAACTTGTCCAAGCATTTTATTCTGTCTCATAAATATGGAGCATATTGTCCTTCAATCTGTTTTCCCAATCAAATAAGATGGTGTATTAACTTAATACTGTTATCATTTCACAGTTACTCACAATGGCATTTGTTTTGTGGGTGGTTTGCTAAGGTTAAGCCCTGCCATCTGAATTGCACAGTTGTAGAAGAAATAATCTCCTATTGTTGGTAGAGGTAAAATATGTATTTTTCTTTTTTATTGTCTTGAAGTCAGTGTTTGCCACTTTGTTAATTGGCTGGCACTCTACCACCTGAGCCATGCTTCCACATATTTCTTGGCCTCCTGTTATATCTGGATTTACCAATGAACAGTGAATAGTATGTGAATATGTTGAGAACCATAAAGATTGGGTATCTCTTGTCCATTATCTCTTCAATGCCAGGTTATGGGTAGAGAGTTGATCTGGTGTCTGTTTTCTTCACTGTGTTGCCCAGACTGACCTGTAAACCTCTAGGCTTGAGAGATCTTCCAGATTCAGTCTTCAGGATCACAAGCCTGGCACAGGAATTGACTTTCAAACCATACTTTTCTTGTTCATTTGTTTGTCACCTTTTCAGGCTAGAATCTCCTACACGGAGTCTGAGCATGGATGCCCCAAAAGGGATTAATATAAAAGCTCACGCTGGGAAAATTGAGGCTCTTTCTCAAATGGACATCCTTTTGCAGAGTAGTGAAGGAATGGTGAGTAGAATGAAGTCCTGAAGTGTTTCCTGATGACATTTCTTTTACAAGCACATCATGAATATTACAGTCATTTGTAATGAGACATTACAAAGGGTTTATGGTAAGATGCATGAAAGGGAAGCACACAACACTCCAGCACTGAAAGAAATGTTAGAACAATTATATATTAGAGCTGTTCACCTTTCATGACTGATATTTGTGCAACCAAACCACTTCTTAGCCAGGTACTAGTGTCTCACAACTGTAAGACTAGCTATTCAGAAAGCTGAGATCTGAGGATCACCATTTGAAGACAACTCAGGCAGGAAATCCCATCAGACTCTTATCTCTAATTAACCACCAAAAAGCTAGAAATTGAGGTGTGATTCAAGTGGTAGAGCCCCAGCATTGAGCAGAAAAAGCCAAAGAAGAGTGTGAAGTCTTGAGTTCAAGTTAAGTATTAGTACAAAACAAAAGAACAACAAAAACCCACTTTTTATTGTTAACTTTGAAAAATAACCACATATTTTCAGCACTTACAGAGCATGTCAATTTTGCCTTTTCATAGTGTCCAACTTCTTTCATAATGGCTGTCCCCAGAGTCACCTGGCGATGACAACAGTATAATGCTATTGCCCAGAGCAATGTGCCTTTCAGTTTAAGTAAAAATGAGAGATGGAAAACAGGACCATCATTTTTGTTTGTTTGTTTTTGCAGTACTGGAGTTTGGAATCAGGACCTCATGCTTGTTAGGCATGTGCTCTGGCATTTGAACCACTCCTCCATCCCCTTTTTGCCTCGGTGATTTCAAGTAGACTCACACTTACCACTCAGGCAGCCAGGGTTGAAATCTGAACTGCGATCCTCCTACTTGTGCCTCTTTGGATTCTGGTGGGTGACAGGTGTATACCACTGTGCCCTGCCATTGTATTTGACTCCATAACTGGAAAATACACACCCAGACATTGGTTGAAATAGTCTCTGAAACTTTTCTGTCTGGAGTTAAGTCCTGAACCACAATCCTCCATCTCCACCTCCCAAGTAGCTAGGATTTCAGGTGGTACAAGAACACTTTTTAAAGTCAACAACACTAAGGATAAAATATTCTGGGCACTGATGGCTCACACTTGTAATCCTAGCTACTAGAGAAACTGAGATATGAAGATGTGGCTTGAAGCCAGCCTGGATAGACATACTGAGAGGCTCTACCTCCAGTTTACTAGTAAAACCTCAGAAATTGAGATGTAGCTGAAGTGAGAGCACTGGCCTTAAGTGAAAAAAAAAGCCAAAGGAGAGCACAAGGTCCTGAGTTAGAAAGGAAGAAAAAGGAAGGAAGGAAGGAAGGAAGGAAGGAAGGAAGGAGGGAGGGAGGGAGGGAGGGAGG